TGTCGGTGGAGGGGACATAGTACATATGAGCTAATGGTGGTGTGTTTCCTTGTATGGGGGGGTCGGTGTGTATAATGGGGGATTGGTGTCTTAGTATCGGGGTCCCCGGATTGAGTGATGAGTGTCTGTAGTCAGCGGGTGCTGACTGCGCTGGATCCTCGGCTGTGTTTGCTGTTCCGTATTTCAGTAGCCGGGTACAAGCCGCCCCGTCGTATTCTCGGCTCAGACAGAACATTCTTTTATATAGAACTCGGATTGTGCGGAAAGTCGAAGATCGGGGTGGCAGGACGGGGGTCCCCCTTTTACCCCATCGGGGGATGGAGACTTCACACAAACCAGCAACATTGTTACATTGTCAGATCAGCCGATACAAAGTATCCCCCGTGTCCGGAACATTCTACAAAGGGAGGTGGAGGAGGAAACCCTCTGAAGCTGCAACGGGATCACATGACCTGACAGCAAGCGTCAGAGCGAGCGGCCGCACTCCGAAGACATCATCATGGATGTAACTTTATTGTTCTGGACAATGAACACAGAAGGTCGGCCCGGACCTCTCCACACTCTGACAGCAAAGTGTCCCCGGCTCCTCCGGTTCAGTCCGGTCCGTACGGTAAGGATTGGCGCGGGGTGAATGTATTCACAGAGGAGCGGACTCTGCCCGTGACATTCACCGAGCGCCTGACGTTTATTAATAACGGTCCCAGTCCTCCGTCAGGCCGGCGATGTCCTTTGCACACAGGTCACCCGGAGAGAAGATACACAGTCCGTGTGTGAGCGCAAGCTCCTCCCCCGAGCCGTGTGCATGTCATGTGCTCCCAGAAATCAGACATTGTATCCGGAAGTGATATGCCCGGGCACCTGGAGGAGGTATCATGGAAGCAATGATGTCACTGGAGCAAACTACTATTCCCATCATGCAGTGCAGATTGTAGCTGTCGGTCATCTCAAGGAGCGGCGCTTCCCAGCGCTGTGTTCAGAGTAACGGATTGTCTTCTGTCCGGGGGATGTGGTGCAGGAGACATCCCATACACTGCAACATCTTCAGGGGAAGGTTTTCCCCCACACACAGAGCACTTCCTGTTGGTCATCCCATCGGTGGTCGTCCTCTGCCTGTGACTGGTCACAGAAATGAATCCCCCGCGCTCGCAGCACACGCCGGGGATGATGGGACGAGTCCCGGTGGTGCAGCCGTCCCCGTGTCTGGCACCGATCCCATGAATGGGAGGTGAGGCGGCTCCTCGACCTGAAACCGGCACCATTGCGCTGAATAATTCACCGGGAACTCGGGTTCCATTTTCCATCCGCCGAGTGATGTCCTCATCCCCGGCAGCAGGTACTGTGCGGCCCCAAATATGTGCGTCTTACATCCCACCTCTGTTA